AACAAAAAGATATTAACATTGTTATATAAAATTATTTATTCTTATCTCTGTAGCGTGAAGTACTGAAAGTTACAAAACCAACAATTATATTTGCGAATTAATTATATTGTGGAATTTTTATCTGATTGAACTTTTTCATTGCTATTATATTAAACGATGATGACGACTGAAGCCGAGTAAACCCGATTCAGCGTTACTGACCCGAGCGTGACGGTTCACTTACGTTCACGCCTAAAGAAGTTTTCATTTCAAAAATAAAAATACTTATCTTCTAATAAAGGATTAAAAAGAACTTTTAACTCTCCAAATCAAAAGAAAATAAGTCCGTGTAATAATTATTTTCTGGAATTATGTACCACGAAATGTATGAAAACAGAAAACAATATCCAGTTATTATTAAGTTTTAATTATCAACATTAGAAAACGGTAAGCACTTACCTACAAAATGACTTTTAGCTTTAAAGGAAGGTCCTTGAATCTTTTTTTGGTTGGCTTTTATACGATCCATTTTAGCTTTAATCTTTTGCAATATTTGGCGCTCTTCGTCTTCTTGTTCACAAACTCGTCTCTCTCGAATTTCTTCAATAAGTTCAGCTCCTACAGTTTAATTTGCAGTGCATAAATAGTACAAAGAGAAGTGATTATATCTACGTACCTCTTGATGCAAGTATAGTAGCAGCTTTCGTCTCGTCAATAACATGGAAAAAATTGTAGCTGTTGAAAATCCTTCTTTGCATAATAAGAAAACCAAAACACACTCCGTCCCATACAAGACCTATATATTCTCGACGAACATTACAGAAAGTAGGATCATGAATGTTTTTTATAAAGTCTGGGTTGCTATATTTACGAACACAACCAACAGCTAACAGCTGAACTAGCCAACAACAATATGTTTTCATTTCAACAATAAAAACACAACCAAACAACTGTATTACTGCTTTAAGCATTATAACAGCCACGTTGTAGCCCAGAAGGCAGTTCCATCTGCAAAAATATTATTTTTAAAATTCAAATAAGATTTCATTTCGGAGATAAACAAGGATAACTATTAATACTGTTGTGTTGCATTTACAAAATTGCTAAACGTGAGAATTATTTTACGTTTTCTAACCCCTAATTTCGAACATAAGAAGGGTTATAAATAGAACAAAATTCGTTACTTATTGCACGTTACGATGGTAAGGAGCTAAAGAGTTAGTATATACCGATAGTCCTAAAATTGCCATTGCGAAATATTGGAACAGATAGTGCTTATGGAATGCATATATCTTTCTCTACAAATTACCTTAATCAAAATTTATAATCAATATTTGTCAAATAGTGTAAGAAGCTTTGTTCTTACTGGGTGTCCTACGACACCACACAGTTTTGTTTGTCATATTTTTGTTCATAAATTTATACATTTATTTATTTAGCCTCACTTGCGATACCTACGATGCTTGTACGTGGATGCTATTATTTTATTTTAATTACAGATAATATACAGAGGGTGAAAATTCTCGCGCAAAAACACGTGTCTACTGATTCGATTTTGGTTGTCGATTCGCGCTTAAAAAAGAATAACGGGCATGGAGTGATATATAAAGTGCAAAATAGTGGAAGAATGTCGAACAACAACTAGGGCTCGACCATGGCGGTCCCCGTAACCAGCACGAGTGCCCGCCCGCCGAATGAATTTGATTTTAACAAACCCGAAAGATAGTCTATATGGCTTAAACTGTTCGAACGGTGTGTATCATTAGCGAATTTGTCTCAAAATGCGGAAAAAGAATAAGATGATCTTCTGTGTTACTTCATGGGAGAGAAGTCAGAGGAAATAGTAAAGCAAATTTTTCTTCAAGAGTCTGAGACGACGACCTCACAGCAGTGGCGACAAAAAAGTTTAGTGACTATTTCTTGCTCAAAAAAATAAATATGATTTTCGAACGTTTTAAATTCAATTATCGGATACAACATACAAGAGAGTGACAAGATCAAAAATTTTGGAATGTTTTGAAAGAGAAAGACATAGATCCAATTTGCAAGAAAATCGCAGTCAAGATCGCGCAGATTATTATAAAAAAGTGCGATGATGTAAACTTCGGCTTATTAGCTTTCGTACCAACCTTCTTAGAAAACAGCTACTCGTCAGGCCAGCTTATTATCTCAAGAAAAATTAGATAAAATCTTCCTGCATAATTTAGCAATCAGAGACAATTACCTTACGCCCCTCCCCAAAGTTTCAGTATGGTTCAATTGGCAATTTAAATAGTATAACTATTACAATGCAAGGTAGATTTGACGTAGGAAATTTGGGCAAAAATAAAATTTGTTATGTTTTCACTGGCGAAATGTTTCAGGTGGGTGAGCCCCTTTAGGTGGCACTTCGCTTTTTGCGATCCGAGACGACGGCTTAACCATACCTGTGTTAAGTAACAGTAATACCGACAATACAAACATCCAACCCATAAGCAATGCCGACCCAGGCCCACGTCGATCTACTCGGCAAACAAAGTCATCCAAGCGATATCGCGCGTGGTGTCTGGGTATAACAACAACACCTCTTGTATCTCATTACATGTAAGACAATAGGTGTATATGCAGAATCTAATAAAAAGAAAGTGTTGTGAGAGCGCGCTCTTGTGTAGGTATATAATAGCCCAGACTATATAGGTCACCGATTTCTATTCCACTCCCCCCCCCCCATTATTTCTCTCCTGTACTCAATCCTCTTCCCTTTCCCAACCTTTTCCACAGAACCTTCCCTGGGATGTAAAACCTCCGGTTATATATTATATTCTAATGTTCGTGGGTTTAACAAAACTTCTTCTAAGACTCACAACGACAAAAACGATTTATTTACACTAATTATTATTGAAGGCCTTAAAAACACTATTAAATTATTACTAACTTAGGTGACGAGTTACTTACTCTATTTATTTACAGTACTGTTGATATATCAGTATTCACTGCGCGGTCAATTTATTTCTAGATTCACTTCTGCAACGGTCAATTTATTTCTACTCCACACGGCGATCGTCTCTTCCTTTAAATACACCCTTGCTTCCTTTCAGGAACTTTCTCGAGCCGTCCGGAAAAGTTTCGTTTTCTTTGAACTGTTTATGACACACACGTTTACAGATACGACGCACATGAAGAAAGGCGCCCGCGGCTAGTCGGCGAATCGATAAGCCGCCAACACACATGCATGCCCGATCGCACACAAACACGCTCGTGCACGCTACAATATATTCCTCACTCGAGGAGGGGTTTTTTTGGATAGGTGATACGGCGAATCCGACACTACCCCCTTTAGGAGGTCTTTTCCCCTCCTCGATTAAAAAAAAAAAGAAAAAAAAAGGGATAGCGATCCAGTAGTGCCGTGAGTCAGTGAAGGCGAAGCCACAGGAGATAGTACGAGAAAGCGTGTACTCGCATAGCCCTCCGTTCAAGTGTGTTGCTATCCACGGACGTTATTATTTAAAACTTCCCTGATACCACAACAGCCTAATCATTGAAAAGTAAGCAAATCACTAATTAAGTAATGTAAGAAATACTTTGCGAATATTTTTCGCTGCATGTTCCCATAATTTTCAACTTAAACTTTCAGTCAAGTAAAAACACAATAAATCGAATAAGTTATTAATTTCATGGTACTCAAAAAACGTTAGAATCACACAAAATTAGGAAATGAATAACAACAGTATTAATACCATTTGAGTGATATATTAAATAAATTAAGTTAAATTTACTTACGACTTGAGAATGCGTGGAATCGGTCTTAAGTATAAATCGGATCCTTGCCATAAGAAAATAAAGGACCCAAGTAGATATCCAATTGAAAAAATATTCACCCTGTTCGTTCCAGCCAAAAAAACAGTAGCCAGGGTAACCCACATGAATCCGAGTATAATACCCCGCTTGAAAATGTCCAAATACGAACAACAAAAAGTTATAAAATCAGGTACAGGATTGACAAATCCTTTTTGTTCAGCATGGTGTATAATGCTTTCATTTGAGCCACCTGGATATTCTTGCCCCACGTTTCTCTTTTCTATTCGAAAAACTAAGGCTTGTCGAGAAACCAACAAAAGTAAAATTGCATCGCAAACTATTCTTTCAGGGCGTAAAGGATAAACAGGATCTACAACATACGCCCAGTCCTGAAGCCTTCTTAAAAGTGGTGAATTATCCCAAGCAATATCTGCAAACAAAATTAATAGTTTTTCTTAAAGGTAAAAGATGGCATCTCGACTAATACTTACATATACATAAGTTTGGAGGAAAACCGATTACCATCAAATATTGCATTGGAATTATAATTGCGATATAAACCAAGTAAGCATTCCATATTTTGGCCAATGTTGATCTTTTAGCAGCAAAAAGAAAACATAAACAAAAACCATAAATAACAGCATATATATCATTTCGTATACCAATCACTCCCACTGTTGCCATCAAGCAAATCTAAAATATAATTTAAATGCCTAGGAATTTAAATAAACGTTAAAAATTATCTCAGACATACCTCTACACCAAATTTGTAAAACCCAAAGTTAAAAAGGTATTTTATGCAACTCTTTAAATCTTTATCAGCGTCAGCTCTCTTTATATTTGGAAACATAAGATACACTCTTTTCAAAAGTATACCCCTTACCGCCCTATGATTTTGTTGCCTCACAGTTACTGTAGTTCTTAAGGTTGCCATTAGAATGAAAATAATATCCCACTTAACAAGCCGAGGTAATGTATTGTTAGCATCGATTTTCCGAAAACCCAGCCACTCAGCTGTATTGGTGGTGTTATATATCGACACGTTTTCCGGAAAATTCTAAGTGAAATTTCACAAGTTATCTGTTACAACAGTTACTTTACTTTTAAAGTGGCAATACTTACATCACATTGTACGTTCCATTTAGTATGATCTACATACTTTATTTGATAAAGCATTCGGATAAGAAGCATTAGTGACACAAGAACAGAACAAAAGTGTATAGCAAAATTTTTAAATACTTTCCCTAATGTGAAAGATAGTACCATCATAAGCATAATCACCATATGAATAGCACATGGGTCATAAATACAAAGAAAAATTCCAGCTAATAAAACAAATTTTGAAATGTGAATTTCAAGAAACAAGAAAAACAAGTTAACAGCATGTCTAATTATTTTCGAGTATTGTTTTAACTTTTTTTGGAGTTTGATTGACGGAGTATCTGAAATCAAATTCAACTTATTCTTCGGTTAATAGCAATATTTTGCTACTTACGTCCACTATTTGTTAAATCGTATTTAATTGTAGAGGTATCTGTATCAGTTCTTTCACTAACAGGTTCAAATTGTTGCCCCTGTATCGAACTTCCTTCTTCGGACCTACTATCTATAATACTAACATTTTTAGGTTCCGATATGTCTAGGAAATTTTTATGGAAATAATGCAGCTGAATTACTGTTATTATAACAAAAAATGTTGGAGTAACAAGTCTTATAAACAGACGTTTGGTTTCGTATCTTTCTAAACCTATATCATTTTGCCTAAAAAATACACTATTTAGTATAATATACTAACGCAAAGTAATATTCGCTATAACTAAAAGATAAAGTTCATCAATTAGAAATACAAAACAATCTCTGTTTCTAATTTGGTTATTAATAATTCAATGATAAATAAATACAAAAAAGTAGATATTTTACTTTTGAATGAATTACTAGATTAATAAATAATATAATCTTACTGGTCCTCAGGTACATGAAGGTAATCCCTCCAATACTCCGGAAAATTATCAAATTGATAAGTATAAACAAGAATCAAAATAATCATGGAATAAATAATTACAATTAACCAAAATCCAAACATCATTTTTCGCCAAACTTTAAAAGACATCTACAAGAAAAGTGTACCCAATAAATGAAATATCATTTGGGCTGCGTTGCCGTAATCAATTTTAAGTAGAAACTGTAAATCCTCATTTGATGAAGCTTTTACATATTTATCTCAATCACAACAGAGGCATAATATAGCATTTTTCTTTCTTCATTTTATCATTCCTCCCGCCTGGATTTTCTTTTAAGTGCTTTATTAATAAGCCAAACATCGCACCCCTAACTCAATTATTAGCCTACGAGTTTTTTGGTTTTGGCAAAAATGTTTTTATTGCACTTTAAGCTATTCAAGCAACCTAGAATTTTTCTATTTCGGTATTATTACAATAAAACCGTGTAGCACCCGCCTGAAATAATTCTGCTAGTAAGGACGGCTGAATCTTTGAAAAAAAAAACATTTAAATTTCTACCAAAAATAGACCACGGCAGCCCAGCCGGAAAAGTATGTATTAAAAGTTTAAGTTTTTTGAAAACCCGTTTAGGTAAAAACTTACCTGAAAACTTAATATAAAGAATAAGAANAATAGACCACGGCAGCCCAGCCGGAAAAGTATGTATTAAAAGTTTAAGTTTTTTGAAAACCCGTTTAGGTAAAAACTTACCTGAAAACTTAATATAAAGAATAAGAATAACGCCATGTATATTATTCTAAACACTGTCATATTTTTACCGGTTATAGCAACCGCAAAAAGAGTGATGGCGACAACCCAAATCCAAAATTTTGTAAGAAACCTTTTAAAAATTTTTCCTATTTGTTCCAACAATTTGCTCTGGTGTTCTTCTTGTTTGGCAACACCCTGAACAGTTGTAACAGTTACTTGCAAAGGAGCTACCATATCAGCTAAAGTATTGCTACGCTGGGCTTCTTTTCTTTCTTGCATATACTGTCTTAGAGTTATCCAGAACATAGCAGTATATAAACATTTCACCAGTAACGGATTACAAGGTAACTCGGTAACTTTTTGAAATCCAATTTGTGCTAAATTTATATTTTTAATGTGGGATGGAAGTTCATCTTCAGTCAAATTCATTGAATAAATATAGGCCGAAATTAATAAAAACCATGCGTAAAACACCAAAAATGGACTAGAACGTAGCATAGATCTTCTCTGATTAGGAATTATCCAAAGAAGATTTGCCCACAGCAATAAGATGAATGTTAACCAGCTATGGTATGTTATACTCCAAGTCTAAAAATTGTATTAACAAGTGAATAGAAACGTGCAAAATGGTTTTTTATTGATATTTAAATACAAAATGTAAATCCTTTTTTGATTTGTTATTTCAAATGTAAAATACAAAATAGATTTCCCTCTTGTATTTTAAATGCTAAATGCAAAATACGTATTTTCAAGATACTTTTTTGTGGTACCTATTTAATTTTCTACATTTACTTAAGTATAAAATATTTTTCAAGAAAACCTTGCAGGCATTTACTCATTTTTTAAATATTGGAGTTTTTCTAGACTAATAGTTGTGTTTGCACTACATCACCAGCTGCGAAGAAGTATGATACATATTTTTCTGTTTGAAGTGAGTGAGATATAGTTTTTCTATCTTTATTATGTAATTTCTTCAGTTCAGCAACAAATAATTCTTCTATATGCTTTCTTATTTGCCTTCGTCACCATTTTAATTAAATTAGTTTGCTTAGCGTGAAAGATCAGCCAAAACAGGGTTGCAAGTAATTTTATTGATGTAAAATCACACCATCAATCATTTTTATATCAAAATATTTACAACCCCATTTTGTTTCTGGTCTTTTACACATTGTAATTAGAGAAAGAAATTGAATCCATAGTTTCTTTAGTTTTGGGTTCATCTAATAAGTGAAATTTTTTCGAATGTTTTTTACATGCACAGTTAAAGAATTATAAGGCATTCATAGAATGTCTCTTTGTCTCCTTTTTAAGCTTCTAATACCTTCAATAGCCAATGTGAGCAACTTTCATTCATCATTTTTTATAATGTTTGATCGTTGATACTAGCAAAACTTTTAATGGCAAAACTGGAGTTTACATTTTACAAATAGGAAATACGTTTGAAAAATCGAACAAACAAATTCGAAGTGGTCAGTATTCTGTCGAAACTGCCAGAGGCGGATCGCGATTTCGATCTTTTTGGATCTCATCAGCGCGTCGCAGACAGTTTCAATAGAACACAGACCACAAATACCACAAATGGCGCGGTTAACGCCATCTGTAGTACAATGCTACATTCAGTGGAATTCATTATGCTCAACAAAGTCCATTTAAATAGATGGATATCTACTTGGTGAACTGAATCCACAGCGTAACTCACCACTTCGAATTTGTTTGTTCGATTTTAGTAACGTGTCTATCAAGTAGGTAACTTACCATCATAATAATATTTGTAGCAATGTATGAAGATCGAATTACAAACTGGATAAAGGACTCAATAGCAAATAACAACTTATCAAACCAATTTGGTTGCTCTTCGTCTTCTGATTTATCTACAACAAATTAGTATCACAGTCGTCCTTACCAAATTAATCAAAGTTAGAGGTTTAAAAAGACAAGGAAAAAGTATATAATAGTATTACCCCAGTGTCGCATTTGTATTTCTTCTTGTCCATCTTGTGTCACAGTAATGCTTCCTGAAGAATCTTGCATAACGGACGACTTCTTACCACTTCCGTACCTTTTAGAAGGACTTACGCTTCGTATTAACTAAAATATATAAAATAATTGTCATTTGTGGTAAAGAAATCCTTTTTATATAGTTTTCAATTAAATTATTCTGTTGACTACAGTTAATCATCAGATATGATCATATACAGTGCAGGTGCGTATTCGCTTCACTCTTACGCTCGTGTGATATTGACAAAAGAAAATTTGTTTTTTGTATTTTATCCATCTTATTATTGATGACTGTAAATGCATTTTTATTAGTTACTAAGAATTTGTAATGTTAAGTGTGAAGCTAACAATTGAATGTTATAATTTGAGTTCAATAAATGATTTCCTACCAATCTAGAGAAATTGAAAATAAAAAATAAAATAATACTTTTATTTGCTAACTTCATACTCAATAATTATTAACAAGTAAAAAGATAATTATCAACAAATAATAAAATTGCATCAACAATCATCAACAATCGAGTAGAATAGATAAAATTTAAAAAACAAATTTTCATTTGCCAATTCACACAGCTTCGTAAAAATACGATTACAGCGATCCACGCGGAGTATTTCATAACTACGCGTTTCACTGTTTTTGAATGTGTAACAACAAATTTTTTCCTTTTCTCAATTTTTTGGGCAGCGAATTCAATTGAATGCATAATTAAGGTAAACCCTGTTCATATGACTTGATTCATTCCGCAATAGTGATTACATTCAAAAACAATATTACAAGTGACTTTCAAAATCTGGGTTAATGTCATACTAAAATAACTCTCTTGTGTATTTTTGATGCATTTCTACAAGAGATACAGAGCATGCCTAAGTACTTATTTTTACACTTGTTAAGGTATTGCAAAAATGGCGATTGTTTAAAATTCGTGTATGAACGCAATACATTTCTTTTAGTACGTTCGAAATTTGGTATATGATCATATCAGATATACGCGGTTGTTCAATGCACAACTAGTTATTACACGCGCTCATATTTAACTTTAATAGCCCTATATGAAGACACCACGTCTGATTATGACGGAATATGTAAATATCTAAAGGTAGATGATAGCACATTGTTTGTTTACTGTTACTTATGAATCTCCTTTGTATACAACAGCTTCAATTTGTTGGTAATTTATCGGCTAATAGAAACATCACTTTTTTGTTGACCAAATATTTCATGTGCTTTTCTTAGCAAAACAAATATGGCGTCCTCATATTTGACTAAAATGGTTAGATATATCAATTTTTTTTAGGGAACAAATTTGGAAATGTATAATTTTCTTATATCGAATAAAAAACGAGTTTATAGCTAATTAATTAACCGTTTTCAGGCTAGAATAATTGTTTGACAACAAAGGGAATATAGTAAGTAAATAATAGATATAACTTATTGTTTCTAAGAAAATGTGAAAACAAAAAGAATATGTGCTAAATAAAGTCAACAGAGGCTTATAGTAAAGTATATCGTATTAATGTAATATTACACAAACAAGTAACCTAGTGAGTCAAAATTGTTAGAAAACAAAAATATAAACATTAAACAAATAAATATAATATGTACCCATTAAATTTTTTTAAATAATGATTTGGTGATACTCCCAACCAATAAGTCACCTTGTTTGTGCTGAAAAAATGAAAAAAAAAAAAGAAAAAAATAAACAGATACATACGGGGGTTCGTTCACTTACAGCTTCTGAATCATTATTATCCTAGAACGATCAAAGCCAAGCATCAGCAATAAAAAAACAGAGTTAGTGAATATTACATCTCCTAAGAATTGATCAAAATAATAAATGAGAAAGCAGTGGTAAAATTACACAGATCTACAACGATCTCTCTCCCTAAGTTTTGACTATTAATTTTTGTAAACCATTCAGAGCTCAAAACGTAGAAATTACTAAAAAATTATAATGCATCAGGATTTTTCGTTATTTTATTTTTATCTTATTCCCGTTTGTTCTACAGAGTGTGAATTTGATAATAATTTTCAGATTCTTAAATTACTTGTGATAGTCTACATAATACTTTGCTTCCACTTATTAACATTAAAATCAAAATTCACTAAGACATAAATTGCACAAAATGGCCTCTTGTAAAATTGTATGAATTTCCTAAAAGTTTTTTTTTATTTTAGTATTTACAGTAAATTTTTATTATATTATCCAAACGACGAAATAATATAGGTAACATACTTTTTAAATACTTGCTTTTATAATTATAGGTTTCTTACTTTTTTTTCCGCGTTAATTATAGATAGGTAAACTGTAAACTGTAAGTTCAATAGAAAAATTTTTTGAACAAAACTTGTTCCCTATTTTAATTCAATTTATCCTGATTTAATTTACTATACAGAGTGTTCAGAAATAGAATAAATAAGGTTTCGTTTCAACGGCAGCCATGTGAAATATGGGTCTAATCGAAAAAAGTTATAGGGAGAAGTTATTTAGAATGTCAAAATATGGGGTTATACGAAAAATCGCGGCGATATTCATTGCTTTCTTTTTTTCGAATTAATCAGTCGAGCGGAATCAAAAACATTTGAATTTTCATTTTCTTAACAACTTTTTCCTGTAACTTTTGCGATTGAAACTATATTTCACATGGCTGCCGTTTAAATGGAACCTTCTTTGTTTATTTTTGAACACTGAAATCTGGGTAATACAGACGATCTTGTAATAAAATAGGAAACAAGTTTTGTTTGAAAAATTCTGTGATTAAACTTCCTGTTTAGCCGCAATGAGCATATTGCGAAATTTTTGGGCCTTTTGACTCGAAAAAAAAAACATTTGAATATCCTCGATTGCAGCCATATTTCGCATGACTACTATTTAAACAAAACCTTCTTTTTTCTATTATACAACACTGTATAGTAAATCAAATTTAGATAATATAGATGATCTCACATTAAAATAGGATACAAGTTTTACTTGAAGAATTTTTCGATTAAACTTACACTTTGGTTGCAATGAGCATATTGCGTACATTTTGCGCCACCCTGTATAATTACCTAACAGTTAATTTTAGAAACAGAAAAGATCTGATGTGATTAACCCCTATGTTCCTAGGTACGTCTTATTTGAAGAATCATGTGACTGCAGAAGTTTTTCAAGCTATTAATATTAAAAATCCATTTTTTTAATTATTTCGTTTTATTTTCCTGAAAAATCCTGATAAGATAGGTAAAAAGTGACCTATATTCATTACTAGCAGTCCCAAAAACGCTTAAAACGTTACAAAATACAAGGGAGAGAAAAAAAAGTAAAAAGTAATTTGGAGATCTGTGTTATTTAACAACTTATTACATCTAATTTACAAAATAATTGAAGTCGTGATGTGAGCAAGTAAATTTGAAAAATAAATTTTAAACCAAATGATAAATGAAAAGTAATATACTTTTTAATGACCCAAAATATTCATAAATGAACTTAAAACATCAATTTTTTTTAAAAAAGAGATAGATGATATTAGCTTACAATTATTAGTATTTTAAAAATTCCTATCTGTTTACTCCAAATCAATTCAAAGCAGTTAATGTAAAATACACCTAATTTATGAGAATTCTGCAGTGTACAGCCAAATTAAATCTATACATACGTAAATACGAAAAAAACGAGAAAGAATAAATAGTGTGATCATTTAAGAATAGAAAGAATAATCTTGAAATGCAATTATAATCCTTTTTCAAATCAATAGAAAAATAGTTAATTTAAAAACGAAAGGCATAATAATTAATTAGAATTATAGAATTCAACATTTTAAACAAGATCTTCGAATTTACATTAATTTGATCAGAATGTTCAAATTGTATCACCTTCGTATTGTGTGTAATATATGCAGCTTAATATTTGCAACAGCTTATTATAAGCAAAGAGGGTTGTAATGTTCATTGTCTTAGAAACTTAAAATAGTTTGCCAAATTATATTAACTTTCCTTCAGTAGCTCCTTCAACTATATGAGAAGTTTTGCTGAACTTGTTACTCTAACGACCTATCTCATTCTTTTAAAATAACGATAAAAGAGGTTCACTCCTAACTACCACAAGTAATATAAAAAAACGGGCACATTCTTCGCCCATTTTGAATTTAGTTTAGCGTTGATAACATCCAAACAAAATTAAAAGTTACTTGTGGTAGGTACTAAGGGAAACAGGGGCTACAGGGGCGACCTTAGCCATTGCGGAGCTGCGGGCGAGTAGATTTTTGCGAGGTCCTTGTCTTTGTGGAATTAGTTTTAATGATGATACTTATTTTTTAATATATGAAATTTAAAGTTCTAAAATTGTGTATTGGAAATTAACAAAAATTAATAAACACACCGATAACAAATTATTAATCATGATAGTCATTATGAAAATTGGAAAAAACTTTGGTGGTTGTTGTAGAACAAACAAAATAGCTGAAGCACCAACGCCAAAACACGACACTGTAGTTGTCCGAAGCACTTTTCAGTCCCTGAAGAAGGTAACCTTGTTACCGAAAAGTGCTTCGGACAACTACAGTGTTGTATTTTGGCGTTGGGGTTTGAGCTATTTTGTTTGTTCTATGATAGTCATTAATGTCTTAAAATAATCAGGGATTCATATATGATTCTTGCGGCTTTTGTTAAGACTAATAAATTGAAATAAACACTACTACTATTAGGTACAATGCTACATTTAGTAAAATTCAATATGCTCAACAAGGTCCATTTAAATAGATGGATATCTACTTGCTGAACTGAATCCACGGCGTAGTCAAATCGACCTTGTTGAGTATATTAAATTCCACTAAATATAGCATTGTACTACAGATGGCGTTTACCGCGCCATTTGTAATATTTCATAAAACTAGTACTATTAGTATATTTTTCTGCTCTGCTTGGATTGTTGCGCGAGTGCGCGAGACCCTTGCAAGAGTGACGCTCTGGCCGGTTGCCCTGCTCGGCGACCCTGTATATCTTTTACTTATTTATTACTGCAATTTCGTTTATTATTCTTCTCATTCATTTAGTTGTCATTTAAACATATATTTAATAATCAAGAATAACAATTAAACATATCAAAATAATTTCGAAAGAACACTGAACACTACACCCTTAAAACTTATAATGTGTGACATCGGCAAACCGGTTTGCATATTAATTAATAAATAAATTTCATTAAATTGTTTCATTATCAATAGAATAATGAAATACAACAATTGACAGAATGTTTGAGAGACATTTTTTAAAAGTAATACTAGAAAAGTCAAAATTTATCAGCAATGTGCGTGAAGTTTGTCCTTGAAAGCATATGCAGAATAATTAAATTTATATTATCTTAACTGATAACTAGAATAAATTAAATCAGTGCCTCACGCCAAACATTTAAAAGCAGATGTGTAAATTACTATTAGACCAATTATACTGAAACATTTAATTAAAATAGAGCGTAGAGTAGAAAATAAGTTAAAAAAATACAGAAAGACAAATGCGAATTGATGACTACAACAGTGGTAGCTTACTCGGACTTTCCGAGTAGCAGTTTGCCATCGATGTCTTTGAGTATTTGAACGTCTCATTCGTTTTCCTGATAAACGTTGAGACAATTGGCGACTCAGAGGGCCACTGAAACTATTTTCTAAGCGACTAAAAGCACCCGGTTTCTTTTGTATCTGCAAATGTTAATATTGTTAAACCAATTATCCGAATAAAGCTTAACACCCACTGTAGAATAAATAAGCTGGAAGAAAGAAAGCCTCTTACATAATTTTAATTTGAAAAAATTGTTAGATTACTCTTTTTATTACTTATTATTTAATAGGTTTCTTTATTTATGTGAAAAATAAATAAAAAACAATTTTATTAAATACATTAAATCGCGAGAGTTTACACGCACGATAACTATCACGATAATGAATAGGCATTTTATTAAATCGCTATTGTATTTTGTGATCTTCAATTACTTTCGGTTCAATTAATTAACTGCTGTTTAATGTCTAATTTATTAGAAAAACAAATATTAAAAGAAGGAAAAAATATTATGTACACGAAATCAGATCAATTTTACAAATAACCAATTCAATAACAAATCACTAGAAGTCGTTCAAAAAAATTAGTGAAATATTCACGTATACTTGTAAAACTATAAATTAAAAAAATAACAATAAGAGCAATTAAGAACATATAATTTTATTAGTATTAATACTCTTCTGATCTAAACAAATATCCGATAAATCCTGGTTAAATTTGCGCTCCGAGAGTTCCATACAGATACATTCTTCAGTGTAAACATTTCAAAAATTTATCATTTCATTATTTTATTTCCTTCAAAATGATGATAATGATACCATATTATTTTTTTCTAGTGATATTTTCATAACTCCAAATACCTGAATTTTCGACTTACTTTCAAAGAATTAGGTGACGGTATTCTTGGATAATTTTTGCTCATAAATAAAATCATTTCTTGATTTAATTTTATTAGTTGTATCGACAGTATTGATATTGTATAGTTACATACAGGGCTACAGAAAATTCGAGGGGCTAAAGTAGAACTCATTTGCGATCGATTTTATCATGTGATACCCTAGTCGATAACTGTTAGTTTCTGAAATAATTAAATTTTTACGTTTTTATTTTTAATTTTCTCAAATACTGACAATTATTGACCAGGGTACCACAGGACAAAATCAATCGCAAATGAGCTCTACTTTAACCCTTCCAAGGGAATGTATCGAATTTCCTAATACCCTGTATATTTATTTTATTATATATACATATATAGTTACTGTCACAATAACACGCAATAAATTTATCTTATACATTAAAAAGATTTGCTTTAAGAAAAACAAAATTTATTAGTTTTTATCTCTCGACGTCTTGCTGATGGACTTAAATGTGTCCAAGCATTCCTCATCGAACCATAATTAAATTTTTAAGTAACAGTAAATCGTCAATGCAATGGTCTAAAACTTGAACAAAAGCTGTTCATTATTAAACATTAACTGCAAAATCCTTTACCCACTCAATGTGATAATCCGATAAGTATATCAAACAAACGATATATATTTCTATGACTTTTTGGAAATATAAAATTTTTATTATGTTTTAATTCTAACATAATGCAGGGGTTACAGTTTAGCGATCCCATCGTGAAAAAAAAACCCTGACGAACAAACTCATCTCAAAACAGCCGTTAGCCCTTATTGACACTTACTTATTTTTATATGGATACCCCCGTAATTCCTTAGTTTTTTTATTATTATTGTTTGCTTTACACCATGAAGCCATATTTCGTTAGTGTCTTAGACTGCAGGCATTTATTACTTTATTAATAAGCCAACATATGTAATTAACACAATGTATTTAAAACAATTAACTTCACAAACACGATCAATATTAGTATTTACCTGTGGCATAAATAATAATGTCGATTCACCTCCAGCAACAAAATATAGAATCAATAAAATAATCGGATTCCAGTAACTGTCCCATTTCAGATCCGACCAAATAAATACCCTTGGATCATCACAATCGACACTTATAAGCGGCGACAATTCGAAATATCTTTATGAATAATTGTTAATTAAAGTCAATTGATAAAATCATACGCTATTTTCGATAGTTACCTAGCATACGTACTGTTACCGTCCAAATACTCTTGAGGCCATTGCAATTGGAACAAATAGATGCAAAATATATGAACGAAAATAATAACCATTAAAATTCGTAAAACAATAGCAAATCCTTTCTGAAGTTCTTTATAACAAGCCCACCACGTAGCGGATGCTAAGAAAGCTAGAAAATATAATCCTCCTTCTACGGATGGCCGCATTACTGCCGCTAAACATAGCAGAAGAAGAGTGGCGTATCTACCTACACAAAAAAGTTAAATGGTAATTAAGTGAAAATGAAATCAAACTTTCAAGTGTTAACAATTCTAATTTGCCAGTAAAGATTAACATATAATATTAATAACAAAATTAATTTTAAGTGTTATGAGTGCCGAATGTTTGCCGCGTTTAATGTTGGCCTTTTTCCGACTTTTGTAATTACCACTTTAGGACAAAAACCAAAAAGCTTCGAAACTTGATATTCAAAGCGTAAAAAGCGTTAAATAATTAGCCGTCAGGAAACGCGTAGCATAGATGTGAGATATCGAAATAGATTTTTAGTAGAGAAAACGATAACATTTCACAGGTAAATTATTATTGTAGTAATGAAATGCC